TTTTTTTAATCTTTAGAACACCAGGAAAAAATAGATTCCGTTAAGTTCCAGAAATGGACAGCAACAATATCTTATTTATATCAATTCATATCCAATTCTTGGCTCAATTCATCAACAGTGCCTATATACTTTATACTACTGTATTATTAATATGACTGTATTAAATCCATGAAGATGCAAAGATAGAAAAGAGAAAGTCTTGCCCTCAAGAAATTAATTGGGAGTAAGGGGGCATAATGAATTTCAACATAATTGGCTTTCTTTGTAGCTTTTGCACTTCATTTTATGCATTTAAAATATTCTTCTGAGAAAGGGTCCATAACATGAAAATGGCTTAGAAACCTCTGCTTTAGATATTTCCCTCCTCATTCATTTAAATTATTTTTCAGAATTGCTGGTGGGTTTAGTGTTTAAGCATGAGTACTACCACCTTAAATTCATCTCTCAAAACACTAGCATGTTTTTGTATAAGTGAAGCATGGATCATTTATCTCTAGACCTTTGCCAAATTTAACATTAGAAGGCTGTGCAGCTTGTAGGCTAGGCATGAATTAAAAAATGTTTATTCCATCAGAAAAAGATCTTAGGACACTTTGGGAGATGCTTTAACTGAAGAGACTAGGTAACAATTAGGAAATTCTAGTCCAGTGCATATACTTCTAACTTTAAGAGGCTGATAATGGAAATCATCTAAATCAAGGAATCAATTTAGGTCCAATCAAAAGACGTTTTTCTTAAAACATATAAAGCTTTATTTCATTTAAAGTTTTAAAAATTGAGTTTATTGTAATCAATAGGTCAGATTAGAAACTAGTTAAATTTATACACAGTATGAGCTAGTTTCTTTGTCTTTCAGCCAACATTAAGCTTTTTAATCTTGGAAGTGGGCACAAAAATGGAAGCATTCTGGTCCTCAGGGTGCTAACACTCCATGAAGGTGATTAAGACATTATACAAGTAGCTATAGTACAAAACAATTCAATCCAAACAAGTTTGGCGTCTAGAAGGCAAAATGCTGAGATATAGAGATGGGGTGGAGTGGAGGTTAAGAGGAAACATTTTTATCCTCAGGGAGCTTAAAAATCAAATAAACAGGATACATGTATACTATGAGATAGTATGTGACGAAGTGAAATATGAGTTCCAGACAAACCGCTCCAAGAAAATTTGAGGAAGATAACTCTCAGCTGGAAATGAGGAGGGGTTGAGAGGGAATTGAGCCTAAACTTAAGTTTTCAACAGAGAGATTTCTACACAGAGGAATGACCTAGCAATTGGGTGAGTGGGTGACCTGCATGCATGTGTAAATAAATATGCACATCCTGAATATCTGGGTAGAACATAATGTGTAACAAAATGGTATGAGGGCCAGAAAGTTAAGAATCCAATTGTTGAAGGCCTTAAATACCCAGATAAAGAGTTTGTCCTTTACCTTATAGGTAACAGTCACTGAGTTTTTTGAATTATGACTGGTCAGGAATATTGGTGGGGGGGGGGAATAGTAGGCAGATGTATGGATTAGGGAGAAAGGGGGTCAGTAGTAGGTTGTTAAAATTTTACTGATATGAGGTAACAAGGCCTTTCATTAGCATGGCAAGTTTGAGGAGGGTATGAATGTCAGAATTTATTAAGCGCCTACTATGTGCCAGGTTCTGTGCTAAGTGCTTTACAGTCATCTCACTTGATCCTCACAACAACCCTTGGTGGTAGGTGCTATTTTATGATCCCCATTTCACAGTTGAGGAAACTGTGGCAGACAGCAGTTAGTGATTTGCCTAGGGTAACATGGATTAGTGTCTGAGGCCAAATTTGAACTCAGGTCTTCCTGACTCCACCTGATTTTCACCTCAATCAATAAATGGTCAAAAGATATGAACAGGCAGTTTTGAAAAAAAAAACCAAAACAAAACAGAAACTAAGAACATAACAAAACAAAAAAAAATCCCAAGTTATCAATAACCACATGAAAAATACTCTAAATCTCTAATAGAGAAATGAAAATTAAACAGCTCAGAGGCACCACCACATACTCATTAAGTTGATAAAATTGACAAAAAAAAAAGAAAATGACAAAAGTTGGAGGGGCTGTGGGAAAATAAGTACATTAATGCATTGCTGGTAGAACCATGAACTGGTCCAGCCATTCTGGAAGGCATTCTGGAAGTAGGTCCCAAAACCTATTAAACTGTGCATACCCTTTGATCCAATGATATTATTCCTAATTTCTATACCCCAAAGGGATATTAAAAAAAAAAAAGGAAAGGATCCACATATACAAAAATATAACCATTCTTTTCATGGTGACAAAGAATTGGAAACTGAGGGGGCGTCCATCAATTGGGGAATGGCTCAACAAGTACTATATATAAACGTGACAGGAAGGGAAGATAATAAGCATTTATATAGTGACTACCACATGCTAGGACTGTGCTAAATGCTTTTCACAATTATCTTATTTGATCGTCACAACAACCCCGGAGGTAGGTGCTATTTATCCCCATTTTACAGTTGAGAAAACTGACTGCAAAGGTCAAGTGACTTGGTCAGGATCACACAGCTAGTAAGATTTAAACTCAGGTCTTCTTGATTCCAGGCCCAGCACTCTATCCACTGAGTCACCAGTTGCCTCTGTGACAGAGTACTATTTTATTCTAAGAAATGATGAAGGGGATGGTTTCAAAGAAACCTGGGAAAACTCATATGAACTGAAGCAAAGTAAACAACCAGACACCAACTTTGAAAACACTGAGGAACTCTGAACAAGGCAATGACCAACCACAATACCAAAGGATTCATGATGAAACATGCTACCCACCTTCAGATAGAGGTGATGGACTCAAGAGTGCAGACTGAGGTGTATGCATGCACACATATATGTATTTTTACATGGGAAATGTTTTGCTTGACTATACACATGTGTAATATTGTTTTTCTTGCTTTCTCAATAAGGGGAGGGGGTGGTTGTGAGGGAAGGAATCTGGAGATGAAAACTGCATCAAAAAAACAAACAAAAACCTTGGTGTCAGTAGAGGACAACAAAGGTTATGGAAGACATAGTTAAGCGTTGAACATTGTAAAAACAGGTCAAGAACAGAGTGGTTGTTAGATTTAACAATGCAGTCATGTGATAGGGACAAAAACTAGGCTCCGGGGGATTAAAGATGAATGGCATGTGAAAATAAATATATGGAATACAGACTTTTAGCTTCACAGATACAGGATGATAGCTTGAAGGTATGGCAAGGTCAAAGGCTCTTCCACTTTTTTCTCTTAAAGGATAGGGGAGCCTTGACTGTGTTTGTAGGCATAGAGGAAAGTGTTAGTAAAGAGGGAGAGGTTGAAGACAAGTGGCAGTGTTTGAAGATAGACAGGAACAACTGATTCAATTTCCTCTAAGAGCCAGAAGGAAATGGGCTACATGGAGTGGTGAGTCTTGGTATATAAAGCTACATTTTCTAAGAATACAGAGAGAAGGATGAGTGATGAGTTTTTAAGTGAATGGTTAAGTGAATGGGAGAGATGGGAGAGCTCAGGCCTAAAAGTCTCAGTCACTGAAGCATTTTTAAAAATGCACAGAACACAAAGTTCAGAAGGAAATACAGACAAGCACAACAGGTTTGAAATTGACATACTGAATTAATATATACTTTAAAATATTTAATAGCTACAGCTTTACATATAATTTTTAAAGTTCTACTTGGTATGGGCAAATGTTCATTTTCGACAGTGTCAAGTTCAGAATAAAGAACCATTAAAAAAAACTAATAATGATCTCAATCTTCACAGTAAAGCAAGTCAAGATCATCTAGTGAGAAAAGGAAATAGAGGTAGTTACGGGAGTCAATCATAGAATAAAAGAAAAGATCTCTAAGCAATGGTGAAGGATCAACTGAACTTATACATAATGAAGAGAAAAAGGAAAACCAAAGACCTTTTATATGTCGAGAGGAGAGTTGAGGGAAGGCTTAATGGACCCATATGACCTTGGGCAAGTCACAAACTCCCTGAGCTTCAGTTCCCTAACTATAAAATGAAAGGGGAAGGGGTCTACTAAATGACTTCTACAAGTCCCTTCCAATTCTAAAATTGTATGAGGTAGTACATGAATTGGATCTTGGTTGAGTTAAATGCCATTAAAAACTTTCTATGTTCACACTTGACAAGTAATAATTAAAACAGCATGTTTAAAATAAACAAGTTAGATGACATAAGGGCAGCTCAGTGTGAAGTGCTTTGAATTGATTAGGAATTAGGAGACTCAATCTCTAACCTGTGTAACTCTGATTTTTCAATTACAAACTAGAAGCTGAACTAAATAATTTCTTCTGTGTTAATTTCTGACTTACTCTTGATATTCCACTTATTTCTTCAAGTAACTAAATTGAGTAAGATAAAATAGAGCTTGAGTACTTTAAGGTAATCTGTCAATTCAAAATTTAAAGTACTTCAAGTATAAATTAAATATTAACTTACCTTTACTAAATAGCTTAAAGATAAAACACTATTTTTAGCATAACTAAAATTTCTTTCAATCTCTACGGCAATCACATAAGTATAAAACTTTAATCTTCAATACAGTTTGCTCAATAATTAATATTGAAGGTTATAAACTACTATATGAATTTGATGGCTTCCCTTGTAATTAATATACCATAGTACTAATCAGGATGGCTCTCTTTAAAGCCTACATGATAAAACAACCCCTCTGAGTAGTTCATTTCACACAAAAGACAACCTTAAGTATTTCATTTTTCAAAATTAATTAGATGCTATTTAAAACTTCTCTACTATATGAAAAAAAAGAACTAATTAACTGCACATCATTTGTCTACTTTTAAAAAAATCTAGGTGTTTTATTCAAAGCTTGGAATTACCACTCTAATAGGGGTTGCTGTAAATCAGCACCTCCAGCTTATATTTATTGATGTTACTCAACATCATATAATGTAATATTTTTGTGCAATACAGTGATATTAAGTTAAACTACCAATCACAAATAATTATTTTAAAAGCAAGTATATTTATAGCCACAATGCCACAGATCTGGTGGTAGGTGAACCAAAGGCAATTCATTACTAAAGTACAAGTATTTCTAAACATGCAGTGTTTACAGGTTCCATAAATGAGTTGATCTCTTCAGAAAGTGTCAGTAAAATTTCATAGCATTTAACAGTCAAAGAATTAAATGTTGGCACAGTCTTTACATGTTAATTTTTCCAATTTGGCCATCCAGTCATTTTAGTGATATAGTGTATCTACACTCTTAACGGGAGGTGAGGGAGAAAGATCAATAGTGCAAAAAAAGTGCACTTAAAGATGCACTCCAACAAAAAAGCATTATCAATAACAGAGACAATTTTGACCATTTCTCAAATTCATCAGCACCACACATACTGCCAAAAATATTCTTAGATTTTAAAATTTTCTCTGTGCATACCATAATATCTATGTTGCAGGAATCAAAGAATGCAAGTGAATTCTTCTGAACACTCCCATTTCTTATAAAAAAGTTAATCAGAAAAAAACCCTTTATGAAAATCCCACAACCAATCCAAACAGTTTTCTAACATGAGTTGCTTATCAACCAAACCTTAAACCCAATCACTTCAATCCTAGATCAAAGAGATTCAGCCCTAGAACCAGGATATCTTACAGTGTACCAACAGCATTGTTACACATGGGTTAAGTAGCCACAGGAAAATTCATAAGTCAGAGTCTCATTAAAAGTCCATTAATCTTTTGTAGAATCTGTGCCTTCCTTATAGGAACTGGCAGAAAAATGCACTAATAAATGTGTGAAATGCAAAATGCAGAGAATTTTAAAATACCTGATGAAATTCATAGGCATTATGTCATTCACATAAAGGTGCTTTCTGGAAGTTCTAAGGTAAACAATGATTAAATTTGAACGCTAATGAACAAATCTGATATTTATACTTCCCTATCAAGAGGATATATCTGTCTATGTCTATGTAGATAGATATAATTTCAGCAAGGCATTAATGTTACACCTGACAGCAACTTATTTCGTGATTTAGATAAAATTCTCCATAGCAGTCTGTCTATCGTGGGAGAGTCCTATCACACAAGTTAAATGATCACCACAAAAAGAGCCTTTAGCACCATTTCCTACAAGAATTAGTAAGCAAACCAAAAATCCCTTCCCCATATGTCCAACCAATTACCCGTCTCAGGTTCACTCATCTATTAACTAGTGATACTTAGGTATATGCAATTAAAGGAAAAACTGAGTTGTGTCTATGCTCTAATCTCCTTTGCTTGATATAGAATAAAGAAAACTAGGTTTTACTGTTATACCTCTTTACCTCATAGATTTCTTATTACCAAGATATGATGTTTAACAAAGGAAATAAAAGTAAAGTTGTTGTGGAGTATTTAGGCTTGTTTAAAAAAAAAAAAGGATAAAGTTTTCCCTCCATTTCACTGTTACTTCTCCTCATTTATAATATCACAGAGGACCAAAATAGATGTAAGTTTCTCAAACAACACATTTGATTTTCTTCCTTAGAATTGCATAGGATAAGAATGTGGCTTATTGTATCCTTATATAGTCCAGCCCTTAACATGACTTCATGATTATTAGTTGAGAGGCAGCATGGTGTGGAAAGAACACTGGACATGGAGTAAAGAGACCTAAGTTCAAATCCTGACTCTAGCACTTAACTAGCTTTATGACCTTGGCAAAATCGAAAACTCTGAGTCTTATTTCCTTATCTACAAAGTGTGGATAATAGCTGCACTACCTAAACCTCACAGAATTGTAGTGAGGAAAGCACTTTGTAAACCTTAAAGTACTATATAAATATGACATCATCAACAATGATTTAAAAAAAAAGCATGTAGGGGAAATAAAGATCTATAAATTTTGAGCTTAGAGGCAGAGTGGTATACTATATAGAGTGCCAATCTTGACATTAGGAAGACTTGGGTTCAAACTCTGCCTCTAACATAGGTCAAATCATTTAACTTCTCAGTGTCCCAGACAACTCTCCAAGACTGTAAACTGTGTAACATCTGCCTATTTGCAATGGGAGAGGAAGTTTCATACACCAATTGAATCATAGGTGCAGACCAAAAAATAAAAATAAAATAAATTCCAGTAAGGTACAAAAATACGTATGCATAACAAAAAACACCCTAAAACACAAAGTAAGGCTAAAATATGTTAATCTCCACATAATGATTTAGTCTTTTATTAGACTTCTTAGGGGTGGCTCTTCCATTCAGAAACTGGAGACTGTCTTTCAATTGTTTTCTCCACCCCTTCAGGTTAATTTTGGACAAAAACTTAATTTTTAGAAGTTGACATCAAATTTTCATTTATACATCGTAATCTAAGTGTTACATAAACTATCCAAAATTTTATCTTGCAAGGTACATGACTTTTGAAGGTTAAGATAAAATGACATTTAAAACATAACCCTTTTGAACTGTAAAAATATTCTACATGTTTACCTTCAAAAGATAATTAATCATTTATTTTTTTGTTTGGGAAACTTTCTTGGCATGTTTAATTAAAAAAAAATCTGCAACTAATGTATGACTGTATCTGGGTAATTAGGTGCCACCCAGTGTTCATTTCTGCAACTACTAATCTTACAAATTCAAAACAGTTTTAACCACTGGCATTTCTGAAATGCTTGTTTTAGATTTAACTTCTTTATGGTGGCAACAGATGAGATTACTGAGAGATGTGTGTAATATCAAAATCAGTATAAAAATAGCCATAAGCTATTAAAACATGAAAAACAGACCCATGCATTATGACTTTAAATGCAGATTTCTGCCTCCCTTAAATTTTATCAAAAACTCAAGTGAGGTTATAGGCAACTGGAACATACAGAAAGACTCTGTACAGTGAAAAGACACAAATTCAAACTAGGGATTTAATTATAATCCATGATAATCATAGGGCAAACAATTTATTCAAAACATCAATTTACTGGAAGTGAGGTGGTCAAAATAGGAAAGGCATTAAAATGCATTTAAAAAAAAAAATCCGACCAAATAGATGTTACGTTTCTTTACCCAAACATTGAAGATCTAATTCACCAAAGAGACAAAATGGGCTTAACATTTCACTTAAGGTAATTCAGCATTATCAATTTTTAAAGAAATATAAATATTTTAAAACAAACATTGAAAATAAATCAGTCTGGTTTAACAAGCTGCACTCATGCTAATGAAGTTTCATTCTTCTTAACAGGATGGGACTTCGCCAAAAATCCAAATGAAAATATCAAAGTAGAACAATCCTCAGAAAAATCGGAATGTAAATGCTGAGTTCAATTTAGATCTGTAAATAAAAAGAGAATCAAAACAATAGGATTCCATTTTTAACAAAACCATGGTTATTATCTTATCTTCTAACAAAATATATTATTTGATGGTTAACAACCCACACTAATATTTATTTACACAACTAATTTTGTTGGAATGTAAAAGCATGTCTAACAAATACTTCCCTAAGTCCCTCATGTTTTAAAAGTAAACATTTCACTATAATATCTATGTAAAGATATTAGACCCAGACTTGAATATTTATTTACACAGTGTTTGAAATTGTTAATCAAATTTGGCATCTGCTATCTACAAAATTATATGATGGCAGAGAGAACTGGAATTATATAAACTTTTATCATTTGTTAGGATGTTTCTCTCAACTCTAGAATTCTCCCTCTCAGACCCAATTCTGAGGCCAATCAGCAACAAAGATGAGGTACAGACCTGCCAAACTTTGATTACAGACTTTAGAAGGCATGCAACAATTCAGATGACAAGAATTTCCATTTTTTATGTACCTCTATTGTTTTATAGCTACGCCTCTCCCTGCTAAATAATAAGTTTTATCTTTTATCATGCCCCAGGACCTGTCCTGCTACACACCTGGGATATTTAATAAAGCATTTATTGAATGAACTTACAAGATTATGAGGGTGTTAAAGGAAAGGGGGCAATGCATTTTCTCCAACACTCAAAATCCTTAATCATTTCTTCATCACTGTTTTTTCCCCCCTTACTATCTACCAGTAGGTAGTTTCTAGAACTGATGAAGTAAAATCTTTAAGTACCCTTGACCTATTTTGCAGACTTAGCTATTTAGGACTAAACTTAATAAATGTATGGTGACTAGTAGACATGAGAAGTCTTATTTATTAAAGGTTCTTTTCTAAGGGGCCAGACTTTGGTTAGAAAAGGGACTTGAGAAACAAGGTGTGGGTGTTGACGTCAAGGCAAAAAGGTACAGTTTCCTTTATTCCATCTACCAGTTGCAATAGAGCTGCTTCTGGCCAAAGAAGGGGTGAAAAACCTTCAGACTAAAGAGAAGTCCTTGGCTCTGTGTGGTTCCTTTCTCTATACTTTGTATCAGCAAAGTCATTCACTCTCAGTCATTACTATTTTAACAATTCACAAATGTTGGACCTGTTTCCTCTCTATGTGCACCTCAAATCCAATATAACCCAAATCATGCTTTCATCTTAACCCTGCAAATCAGTCCCTTCTCCTAATGCTCTTGTCTTGTTAAATGGCATTATAATTGTTCCAGGCTCAATTTGGGAATCATCTGTAACTCAATTTCCCTAAATAAAACTAATTACCAAGTCTTTTCCATTTTCTCTCTATATAATGTCTCTAATACCAATCTAGCTAAACTGAAAAAAACTCATCACTAGCTTAATGGCAGGGTACTTTTCAGCCACAGCCACTCTCAAGAGATCCCCTACTAAAATGTCTGCATGTTTGTGATCTATGATGGTATACGGGGAACCCTCACTGATGAACTCACAGATTACTCAGGTACTGAACATTTCCTGAAACCATATTTTCCTGTCCATTTCATTTGCTACTACCCTAATCCAGGCCAGGACTACTCCAATAGCTTACTATCTGGGCTTCTTGCCCATTAGCCTTTCTCAATTCACCCTAAAATTAATGCCACATTTAATTTTCCTAATAAACTGATCTGTACGCCACTTCCTGATCAACACCCTTTGATGACTTCCTGCTGTTCACAGTTAAAAGTCAAGCCTGACCTAAATGGCCACATGTGGCTTTGAGGTTGCAGGTTCCCCACCCCTGGACTATGACAATCAATCCTCTACTTAACCTGTCAAAACTGTCTGCTATTTATTATTCTCCAACACCAATCTTCCAACCTAGTCAAATCAGTCTTCCCCACTCAAACAAAACAAACACAGCAAGGTTATTCTTGCTTTCATATTTTGGCTCATGCTTGGAGTAAAAATATACTTTGTCCGTGTGTGGCAGTTGCTTCCCTAATTCTTTTTCAATCCAAAATTCTACTACTCCTTCAAGGTCAAGTTAACTACATCCTCCATAAAAGCTTTTCCCCAACACTCCAACCCTCTAGTTCACACAGTAAGCAAACACTTATCAGTTCCTCCCAAACACACAAAAAAGGAGGCCTTTTTAATGTCACCAAATTTACCTTTTTTGGGGGGGAGGGATAGGGGATGGACACCTAAATCTTATTAAAAAAATCTTAAGACTTCATTCAAACACAGCAACAGGAGAAAGGTAAAGAAGTATTTTTTTTCTCAGAAATTATGGCATTGGAATGAGAAAAACCATTCTCCTATACATCACAAACTACCAATCTATTAGTTTTGCAAATACAGTGTACATTTTTTAAACTTAAAAAGAAGACTTATTTGGTTTAGTAATTGTGGTAACATTCCTCCCTTTTAACAAGTTTTGTGTTCACTTTCATATATGAGATGACAAGGGAGAAGCCTGTTCAAAATAAAATCAACTAGCTATTAGCATCAAATATTAGCATGTTCTATGAAATAGAATATACAAACACATAATAGAATATTAGTGCTACATTTATGTGAAATATATTAATATTAAAATTATCTGGTAAATATATATTCAATATGTTTATGATTAAAAGGAAGTTCTCTGTTGAGATCACATTATACTTTACATAGATAGGAACTAATAAAAATTTAGTTAACTAGCTTTTTATACACTTTTATCTTGGATGAATATACTGATTGTATTAACAGATTATTACAAAAGACTTGTTAAAAAAGGAGTATAATGCAATAGTAAGAATAAGGGATTAGGAAACAAGGACTGTGGATTTGTCACTTACTAGGCATATAACCTTAGACAATCTAACTTCTCTGAGCTCCAGTTTCCTTATCTGGAAATGGCAATGACGATCTCTGACTGTCTCTTTCATGGTTCTTGTGAAAGTCAAAACAAACTAAAGGATTAGAGCATGGAATTGTTACTAAATTGTCCTGCACTTGATTTGTCAAAAAGAAAACTGACCTTTCCAAGGTTAAATGTTTGACAGACTTAAACAACAACAATCCACTGAAATTGTCCTTGAGTAAGTTGATGTTTGAATTCCTCTGCCAGTATTTTAAAGTAATATTATAGCTCTACTACTGTAAATCTTGGTACATATTTAGATGAAATGATATTAAGATCAAGAGTTTCTTTTTAGAGATCATTTGAACACATACATCATCAATGTCTTCATCATCATCCCCGATATCATCAAACTGGATTTCATCATCATCTCCAGGACCAAATGTGTCTGTTTCATTGATTTTGGCTACATAAAACAAACAAATACACATTACATATTATTAAAAATGAATTCTCATCAAAAGCAACATCTCTTATAAACCATTTAATAGAATAAATATCTAGTACAAGACAAATAATTCCAATTCAATCAAAACACAAACATCTCTAACCAGCTATATTTAACACTTCCATACAACAATAGCCATTCCCTTTGAAGTTTATGGCAATGGCATCCACATGTAATATAGCATTACAAGGAACATCAATTTTTCTTAGTTTGAAAAAAAAATTTGTATTAAAAAAACTAAAACAAAAATCCTACTGGATTTCACTATATTAGGATAACTCAAGGTCTAAAAACAGTAATTATCTTGCTTAGCTTAGATATGTACTAATTCTTTCTAGAAGAGAATTTGTTTAAATGTGTTACTCTGTCATTTCCCCAAATTAGTTACTTTTGGCAACACTGTCCTGAAGGCCAGAGATATCACATGGGAAGAGAAGTTCCACAAATAATTATTTCAAGTAGTATTCTAGGAATCATTACTTGTTTTGCAATACCTGTCAGTATGCAAAGTAAAGAGTTAAATTCCACAGGTAATTATAAATATGTAAAAGTGACAATTCTTTTGATTTATTTTTGACCTAAATGATAGCAAAAACAAGTAGCCAGAGGAAAGATTTATAGATATAATTTTCTTACCATGCTCTGGAAGTTCCCCATATGCCTTTAAACTTCTTGCTTCATCTGCATTGTATTTTAGTATAACATCGGCTTTGTTATCCTTTAAAATATACACAAAACACACTCAAAACTGGCTAAACCAAAATATCACTAATAGTTTTATAAATGGGTAACCCTGAAAGCATAAGACTAATGGTAAATTAATTTCCTTCATTCTGAAATGCCATTGTTCCCCTTTTAAAGCTTCCATCTTACCCCTTTCCCCCCTTTTTGGCCTCTTTCTACATATTTCTAAATGTGTTTATCAAGCAGCAGGAAGGTGTCTAATGTACACAGCTGAAAAATATTAGCACCCTAAAGAACAATCTTGATTCTAGGCCACACAAAAAATATTTCCTGCCTCTTAATAGAGAGGTAAGGGATTACGGCTACAGAATGTTCCACAGATAGTGACAAGTGAAATGGACTATACTGGAAATGACAGGTGCTTTTTTTTTTGTGTGTGAAGCAATTGGGGTTAAGTGACTTGCCCAGGGTCACACAGCTATCAAATGTCAAGGGAGGCCAGATTTGAACTCAGGTCCTTCTGACATGTACTTAAAAAAAAAAAGCTATCAAAAGAACTTGAAAAATACCAACTACATTAAAATGCGTTCAGAGTCTTTGTCAATAAAATATAATTGTGCATTAGATGTCTTGAAGTTATTGAGGATAGGAGTTTTTTGGTCTATCATTCCCGATTCCAATTCCTAGTGTCTTCCCATGTATTTAACTGTATTTATTTTCTTTATATGTATATTGCACAAATTTGTATATGCACTTATTTCCTTGTAAGAAGCTTACTGAGAATAGAGATTGTTTCATTCTTTGTATTTGAATCCTCAGGACTTAGCTGAATGAAACAGGAGGTACTTTAAATGCTTGTTGATAAATATACTACTACTTTCTAAAGAAAATTTTATTTTCACTTGAAAAAATAAAACTAGACCAATGAATAAATTTTTTACATTACTGTAGCCAACTATCTGTTTATAGAAAGCAACTAACCTACAGACTGATCAAAAGCAATGAAGTAAGTTCCATAAAGGTAGATAAAAAGGATGAAGATCCTTGAGACTGGAAAGAGAAAGGCTGAAGGGCAATATGACAAAATCATACCACAACAGCCATGTTCATGGCTAAGATGAACCTGTGTTTATTCATGCTGTTCTGAGACGTTGTAAGAGTGAATTAGAGGAGTTTTATGATAAGGAAATAAAAGCACTGCTTCAGAGTGTAGTCAACACACAAAGAAAAATGTATCACAAGGTCACTGTCAGAGAGAATTCAGGGCTTTCTAGAACACTCATCCGATCCTTGCTAACAAGGATGTTAGCAAACAAATGAAACAACAGTAAATATTCACCTGGTAGTCTCGGAGACCAACCAATATGATGTCCGATGTATTTATCCAAACCTATAAAAGGTAAAGAAAGAGTTTATTGTATTCATAAACTCTAAATTCAAGACAATTAAAGGACCAAAACCAAGTTTACACATGGAATGTTCCACTAAATCAAAAGTTGACACAGTTAAATACAAAGCTCTGAAAATAAACACATAAAAAAACCAAAGACATTATCTACTCAACCCAAATTTTCTTACTGTCCTGATAGAGATATAGGCTGGAGTAAAGCTACTACAACTTCTTAAGATAAAGATAATCAACTGTGCAAAGTACTTAAATACATGTGACGAAAACTAGAGAAATTTTTTTTTAAGGCAATTGCGGTTAAGTGACTTGCCCAGGGTCACACAGCTAGTAAGTGTCAATTGTTTGGTCTGAGGCTGGATTTGAAGTCAGGTCCTCCTGACTTCAGGGCCAGTGCTCTATCCACTGCACCACCTTGCTGTCCAAAAACTGGAGAAATTGATAAAAATTTTAAAATGATCATCACCTTTGTTTTTAAGGGTGACATACTGCTATTATATTGAGCTATGGCAAACTATAAGGTAATACTGCATTCCTCCTCCAATAGTGTAAAAACTGTGTTGTTTCCTAAAGCAAGAAAACTGGGATGAAGACTTCAGAATAAGGGAAAATATTCTTTGTACTCCTAAGCACAGACTATTTCCATGCATAGTAGAAATCTATCGTTTCTATGTAAGGAAAGGAGAAAAAAAAGTCAGAAATAAAAAACAAAGACTTTCTTCTGATACTGTATCTAATATTTACTGTACATCAAAGGTACTCAATTTTTTTGAAGCCATCATAGACAGGAAAGACACTAGAAAAGGCAAAGTCACTAGTTATCATTATTTAACAGAAGAGTTTTGAGAATAAAGGAACTTTGTAAATGAAGAAAACCAATGTTTGGTTAATATATTTTCCAGTAATATGAAAAAATCCAGTTACTTAAAAAAAGTGTTACAAAATTTTAAAATTTGTTTAAAAAAATAGTTCTAATGTGAATCTCAGCTAACATTGTCTTCTTTTCTGAGTTTCCATACTGACAAGTCTACTACCAACACTTGGTGGCAGCATACTCTAGTTTTACACTGAGTTCTTTTGAATGCTGTACTTCTTGATTTTAAACATACGAAATTATTACACACTATATATTCCTGTGTGTGTGTGTGTGTGTGTATACACATACACAACTTTGATTGTAGAGAATGATAGATGTGGGAGGGAAAATAGGGGGAAAAGGATGAGAACGGCAAAACTTCTACCTTAGAAACTGGTCTGCTTAGAATTTTAGAAATGCCCCCTTATACAGTATGATAATTCTATTTATGTACCTACCTATAAGTTAGTTGGGGGAAGTCTTTACTCAGAATTATAAAAAGAACTATAATTTAGAAAAAAGTAACAGATCCACAGTGCTTTTACATTTTCTGCAACACACAAACAACTTGTGTATTATGTTTTAAACATTTAAGGATTCCACAGAATTCATAGTAATGTTTGTAGAGTCATAACCTGCAACTAGATAAGACTTTAAGAGGTCACATCTCATTCACTCCTCATTTTACAAATGACTCCCAGACAGCACAATGATTTTCACAAGGTACCAGAGATGGTAAATTGGGAGAACTGAAAGTTTAATGTAGGTCCCTACTCCAAATCCAAAGCTTTTTTACAACTTGGCTGCCTCAAAGTTATCAGCTTTTTATCTTCTAAACACCCATAAGATATTTGTATGAATATTCAAATATCTAATATCCAACAAGAATTTTTAAAAAGCTGATTATTCCTACATTGATACCTTGGCCTGACATTTGCTTACTTGTTTACTGATACTCAGGGATAGAAAACATTAAAATTGTGCTTTCTGAGTTCAAGCAAAGTGGTTCATAATACTTGTATTCTTGTGTTCTCAAGACCACTTAAATAAAAACCCATTAAAATTGACTGTTTTATTTTTAAAAATATCAACATGTGAACCATGATGATTGCTAAATCTTATCCTAGTGCAGAGGGTTTTTTAACCTGGGGTCTGTGAATTTGATAACTGTATTTAAATATAGTTGGCTTCTTTTGTAAGACCTACAGATTTTATAACATTGAGAAAGGTTCTTCACCAGGCTGTTTGACCAAGTGACTTGCTAAAGATCATACTGGTCCAACTATTCTAGGCAATATGAATGGGCAACACTGTGCATGCCCTTTGACTGAGAAATACCACTACTAGGTCTGTATCCCAAAAAGATCTACGAAAAAGGAAAATAACCTATACGTACAAATATTTACTTACAGCAGCTCTTTTTCTGAAGGCAAAGAACTGAAAATTGAGGGGGATGCCTATCAATTGGGCAGTAGCTGAAAAAATTTGTTGCACATGATTGTGATGGAATATTATTGTGCTATAAGAAATAACTGGGGGGGGGAATTCAGAAAAAACTGAAAGACTTAAACAAATTGATGTGAATAGAACTAGGAGAACACTGCACATAGTAACAGCAATACTGTAATGATGATCAACTATGAAAGACTCAGCTGCTCTCATCAATACAAATGATCCACAACAATTCCAAAGGATCCATGATGTAAAATGTTCTCCATCTCCAGAGAGAGTGAACTGATGAACCCTCAACACAGATTGAAGCACATTTTTTCCTTATTTTTCTTACCTTACCCCCCACAATGTGGCTAATGTGGAAATGTTTCGCACGATTTCACACAAATGGCTATATTTCTTGCCTTCTCAATGGAGGGAGGGAGAGAATTTATTTGTAATGGAAAATAAAATTTAAAAAAAAAGGGGGGGGAGAAGATCATAGTGATAGTAAGTGGCCAGGATTTGAACTTAGGTTCTCTAATTCTCAATCCAGTTCTTATTCCACTCTACCATGCTTCAGGGTCTTAAGGAAATCTGGAAACTTTCAGCAATGAACATCCCTACAAGATCGCCAATGCAGAACTACTTTTCCCTGCAGGTAAATCTATAATTAGTTATATTATAAAACAAATACCCAGTGCATTCCTTTCCCCACATATACCTTTTTTCTTAATTTCCCTCTGATGTGACATAACCTCTTCACACCATCAAAACACATAGCTTCTAATCGTCCATTTCCCAACATTTTGATCACCTGGGCATATTCTGAAAACAAAAGTGGAAGAGAAAAAAACCATACCTTAAAAGAAAGCTCTCCAAAGATCTCTTACTAAAAGTACATTCCTGTTGCTAAGGTTTACCCTAAAAAGATTTCTGCTGCTGAATGCTAATATATTCCCACAATGCGGAAGATACTACTTGAATAGCAAGGAAGTACATTTGCTATTTTTCCCCCCAATTTATTTTTAGTTTTCAACATTCATTTCCACAAGATTCTGTGCTCCCAACTGTTCCCCCACCCCATGATGGCCTGTATTCTGATTTCCCCTTCACCCAATCTGTTCTCCCTTCTATTATCCCCCACTTCTCTTATCCCCTTTCCCTTCTGCTTTCCTGCAGGGTAAGATAGTCTATACCCCTTTGCCTAGGGTATCTTATTTCTCAGTTGCATGCAGAAACAATTTCTACCATTCGTTTCTAAAACTTTGAGTTCCAAATTCTCTCCCCTCCTCCCTCCCCACTCACCCTCATTGAGAAGGCAAGCAATTCGACATACGCTATACTTGGGCAGAAGGAAGTACATTTATAACATTTTACCCAGGACTTTAAAACTGCTACAAAGAATTAATCTGTTGGATCAAAGCTTCAATGCATACTACAATTTTCTCTCTCTCTCTTTCCAGATTTCCCTGTCTCACCTAGGCTGGAAGTACAGGAGCTACTCACAGGCCTGAGCCCACTACTGATCTATATCACTACATGGCTATAAGGCTATGTGACCTGCTGTTTCCAACCTGGGCTGGCTTGCCTGCTAAACAACCTGGTGGCTTGCCATACTGATGATGGGTTTAGTATGCATATTCAATTGACTCATGCCACTGTAGCTCATTTCTCTTGAGCTCCAGATATCTGCCAGCTTCAGCCTCTCTGCACAAAGATAGCCATGTGCCATTATTATTTTTACACATTCACATTATTTTTTAAATAACACAAACATTAAAAGTTTCTGTTTTGAAATTTTATATAAAAATGATATGGTAATTTTAAAATTCTTTTAGTTTATACATTAAATCATGTTCATAGAATAACTGTCTGAATATTTCTACATGTACATGAAAAGTACAAAACTGGGATCTTGTAAAAAATTCTTACAATTCAGGCTTTTCACTTAATAGGGTTTCTTTCCTAATTAGCCCAAATAGTAAGTTTTATGACATTTCATGTCATAACGGAGAATATCAAGTTACTTTTCAAATATATAATAACTATTAGTTCAATTTATTTATGTTGTTTTTCCTTTAATAAACAGTGACCCTTCTAACCACAGGAAACCATGAGAAATCTATGTATGTATGTATGTATGTATGTATGTATGTATGTATGTATGTATGTATGTGTTTATACATACACACATAAATTTTTTTTAAAAAGTGGAGGAAATTTTAGGAATTATGTGGCGTAGAGGTGTCAAAACATGGAGCCTGCAGACACTCAGCCAAAACCAAACTTAAATATAATTGGGAAATATTTAACAATACAACAAAAAATTAAACAAAACAATAAACCAATAAAAATGTTACTTTGTGGTTTTCTAAGTCAAAATGGGGCCCAGGAATCCTTACACATGTTTAGTGGTCCAATTTCTATTTGAGTCTGACACTGCTGATGGAGTCCACACCACTTATCTTAGAAGTGAGGAGAGTGAAACTCAAGGTTAAATGACTTGGCTGCCTAACGTGCCACAGACATACTCACTAATAAATATATTTTCTAATTTAGTAACTCACAATCAAAATTTCATTGAACTCTAACTCCCTGGCTATCTAATAATTCTTAGTTTTTACCGAGCCAGATATTTTAAACTGAAAATGTTTCTGTATTTCCCTACAAATTTCTACTTTTTTATTCTCTACTTTAATTCAGATTTCAGTGATCAACATTATGGCTTTTTGGGGGGTGTCATGACCAACTCGCTAAGGGAAGGGAAGGGAAGAAGTGAAAAATAAAGCCAGAAACAACATAACTGATTATACATGTAACTATCACTGAAAGAAATCATCTGACATTGAGTAATGATTACTATTAGTTAAAATTTTATTCCCTATAAGAAAAATCCAACAGAATTTTAACCATACATTTTCTACCTTCTAAGGCAAGGGAAATTGTAATTTAACAGGTTTCCTCTAACAACCCCTAAACACAGCCTACATGTCAGAATTTGGTAGCACACTTACCCTGTCCATCTTCCTTGAAGACCAATTCTCTTTTTTCAGATTCATTTTCATTCTTTCCTCTGCGCCTATTTTTACCTCCCTTACCTAAGGATTGAAAAGTAAGAAACTATAAAAACTTTTATATAATATAGAAAGCAATCATAGCTAAAACAAGCTTAATAAATTTTAAAACAAAACAAAAATGTTATTTCAGACACATTTTAAATTTTTTCATGTCCTAGAGAGATATGATGCTCCTAGAAACAGGTAATAGGACTTCTGGTTAATATGGAGGGGTAAAAAGTTGTAGAGCAATTCAGTACGCCAATATATACTTCAGTAAAAATGATAGCAAAGGAAGCCCATAGTCTTCAAATTGGGAAGCACAAGGGGAGAAGGAAGTCTGGTGTACTCCAAACTCATACAATCTACGGGGGGCTTAAAACCTGCCTGCCAGTCCTCTAAGTTTATACTTAACACATTAGGGGAGGTAAAAGCAAGTAGTAGGAATCTAGGAAATGAGGTTAAAACCAAAGAGATCTTAAATCTCTCATTCAATAATGCAGGAGGGAGTAAAGCCTGGTCTTGGTATAAAGTCCCAAAACAGGAATTCAGACTGGAGATATGAGTAAAGAGAAGACACTGAGCACTATGAATAAATATTATGGGCTGAGAAATGCCCATGAGAATAATATAGGACAGACTAACCGCAAGCAAATCCTCAGAGAAAAAAGAAAAGACCTGGTCACAAGGACAAGAATACTAGAGGACATGAAGATTAAAAAAAAAATCTTATTACAAGTGAAACAAGAGGGTCTGAAAGAAAGAATTGGAAGGAGAATAACTTAGAACAAAAGGTAAAAAACAAAATAAAACGAAACAAAAAACAACCACAAAACCAATAACCTTCAAATAATGAAGTCCTTGAAAATTAAAAAAGAGCAAAATGATTCCATGAGACATAAAACATTAAAAAAACAAAACAAAAAAAAAAACCTCCAATATCACATTCAAGAAACCATTAAGGAAAACTGTCTAGAACCAGGTGACAAAGTGAAAACAGAAAAGAACTTACAAATCATCTCCTGAAAAGAAATCTATGAAATGAAAACTACTAGGAATGTCAAAGCCAAAATTCCAGAGCTTCTAGGTCCAAGAAAAAAAAAACAAACTGGTGAAAATAGTCAGAAAGAGTTCCAAGTACCAAGAAATTACAGTCAGGGACACACAACACTAAGAAGAAACGATTATAAAGGAAGGAAAATCTTGGAATACAGTATCCTAAGAGGAAAAAGATAAAGGCTTACAAACTTACCATGAAAGACAGAATATAATCCTATAGAAAAAAAAAATGGATCTTGAATGGAATAGATGACTTCTAAGAATCCCTGATGAAAAAAATTAAAGATGATTTCTACTACTACTAGTGGGTGGCATTTATATATAGTGATTGAAGGTCTGCAAAAAGGTTTTTGAATGTTGTCTCATTTCATCTTCACAACAATCTTGTGAAATTGGTGTGTTATTCTCATTTTATAGATGAAGAAACTAAGGCAGATAAAAAGATAAAAGTTAAGTGTCGTGCTCACAATTACACAGCAAGTTAAATGTCTGAATGGATTAACTTGGCTCTCTGGCTCCAGGTCAGACTCTATCCATTGTACTACCTAGCTGCCTCTCTCTGAAATTAAAAGTAAAAGTTAACATATTGAGTTACTGAAAGGACTAAACCAAGATGAATTGCCAATTCTAATAAAAGAAGAGACCAATGTCTCTTCAGAACCGACATGTCTTCAGGGTGGCTTGGGGGTTGTTTTGTGTAATGATAAGATTAAGGAGGAAAGAAAAGGGAGGTGAAAAATAGAGTAATAAGGTGGGTCTTATTTTCAGTACTGAATATATGAGAACATAAAACATATGGAGGAAGAGGTAGGCGGCAAATGCATCTCATGAACCATAAAATATGCACATGAATGCATATGTACACACAAGAGTTTGATGTAACAATACATTAAACCCATCAAGGTAGCAGGTGGGTATAGGGAGAGGGAAAAAGGAGTTCAAAGTCAATGTAAAACAAATTTCAACTTCAAAAGGCAGATACCATAGAAAAGGTGTTTTTAATCTTTCTTTTTTTTAATGTAATGGACCCCTCTGGCAATCTTGGTGAAGCCTACTGACACCTTTTTCAGAAGATTATTTTTTAAATAATTGAAGAAAATACTAAATTTCAGTTAAAGTTGGTGAAAATATGTCTTTTTTTTCCCTATCCAAGTTCATAGTTCTTTGAAGTCTGCCCACATCCCTTGGGGGTCTGTGGACTCCACTCTATAAACCCCTGATATGCTACACTGTAAAAAACGAACAATTTTGATGAAAAGACAAGAACATGATTCACTCAATGTTCAATCATAATTCCAGAGGACAAATGAATGCCACCTACTTCCTGATAGAAAGGTTATGGACTAATATGCAAAACAAGACACTCATTTTTAGATACAGCCAATATGGAAATTTGTTTTGCTTCACTATATTTATTACAAAGATTTTTTTCCTTCCTTTTTTCCAGTTTGGCTGGGGCAGGTGGGAAGGGAATAGTGACCAAGGGAAGGAGAAATATGTGTAGGAGATAAAATAAATGCTTGATAAGTGAAAAAATAAAAATAAAAAAAATCTGACACAAAAAGGGTAAGAACCAGTGATCAGGGGATGGATGCTATTCTGCACCACTCAGATCCACATAATGCTGAAGCTCTGATCTCCTCTACAACGAAACACAGAGAAGAGAACAAGAAAGCCTGCTCATCCTAATTACACACAACATCCTCATTCATCAGTGAACAAGTAGGAGAAGAATGACTCAGGATATCATAATTCCATTTATTGCTATTTAGTGTCAAAACAGTTACTAAGATTCAAACTAGCCTTGTATGTGATTCCAAAATGTTATTTAGCTTTTTCAAGTGAAATCGATACAAGATTTATTGAGATTTGGAGGATTAATAGAATGATAAGAGGAAATTGGGGACAGAAGTACAGGTCAGTATAATGCCAATACAGTATATTGTTACATGAGATAGAAAGAGACTGAAAATATCTCAAAATTAGAATAGTGTAGCAAAAGAATTCTCTCAAGCCTCCATATACTGAACTAAGCATGGATGAGGGAACCACCATTCATTCTTCCAATATTTATTAAGCATCTACTGTGTAAAGCAGAGCACTGCGTTAGTTACTGGGGAAGATACAGAAGGCAGTCTAAGAGAAAGATAATACTGATTCAATCTACAAGCACCTGGAGCTCATAACTTGACAGGTCAGATTTAGTTCTTGAACATCAGCTTCTTTTAGCTACTACTTGCTGGATGCCAATTGTTCCTACCCCCAAATAGCTACTTTAAAACCAGGTTCTTTTATCTTCTATTATCAAGTCTAAGGATTTATTGTAGTAAAACACTTATCTTCAAAAGTGACTAGCTTCGGTACCTATAATCAAAGCATGGCATCTTAAATTAAACTAACAAAGGAGTAACAGTTGATGAATCTCATATGGTTATTTCTTGATGTGCCATAAGATGCATTTTAAAAAAAACAAACAGAACAAAAAAACTTGTAAAATGCATTCAATTACCTTTTTCTAGTACATTTGCTCTGTTCTTTCAAATGTTGAGGCTGCTATGTTATAATGAATGCTAACTTTAAGGTTTATCCATTAAGGAAAATCAGCTCTCCAAAGAACAGGGGAAAAGGTGTTTATAAACTATTTAAACTAAAGATTTAGAACTAAGAAGAAATTTAATCCAATTATCACTTTATGATAAACTAGTATTAGAGCCTTCACTGCTATGTAAGTCACGGCAAAATGGTCTTACAAACATCTTAAAGTCCACCTGTTACCTGCCCTTCATTCTTCAGTCCTAAGCCATCTCCTAATTTCAGAATCAAAACTCAATACAAATCACTAGTGAGTCAGAGCTTCTTTATCAGTAACTTACCCCACACTTCCATCTCAAATACCTCTTTTGCGGGGCTCTATATACATGCCTTCCCCACAGAAGACACCTACACGCGACCTGAGTCTGTTACAAAATATTCAAATGAACTGGGTAAAATTTAGATGATTACAAGTTTTTTTTTGATCATGCTGCCATCTTCCAGGCAGGGCTGCATTTTTCAAAACCATTTCAGAACAATTATGATATACCTGCATAACAAAAGACTGTTATATTTAATTCAATTAGTAGCTAGATGGTGCAATGGACAGAGCACTGGGTCTGGAGTCAGTATGACCCAAATTAAAAAATCCTGCCTCAGACACTAACTGTGTGGCAAATCACTTAGTATCCGTCTCAGTTTTCTCATCTGTAAAATCGAGATGATGATAGCATCAATCTCTTAGGGCTGGTATGAGGATCAAAATAATAATTATTAATAATAACATTAGTAATTATATTAATATTAATAATAATCATTCACAATAGGACAAAACATTAAGAGTTGGCTGCGTGCTTAAGGTACTGTGTTGGGCCTAGGGGAAGACACAAAGTTTAGCTAAGACACAGTATTTGTTATTTTGTAGCCACAGACTAACATAGGGAGACATGACCCAATTAACAATACAAAAAATTAGATGTTAAGTACTAAGTACCAACAAAGTTTTATAAGGTCTGAGAGAGGTAAAGATTCATTTGGACTAGCCCCCCCCCAAAAAAGGATTCATTTGGACTAAAGGAGTAGCAGGGAAGTTTTAATTGTAAGAGCTGGCATTTCATAAAATTATAGAATTTTAAGAGCTGGATTGAAGAGACTGGCTAGACTGCAATAACCCTGAGAAGCAGGCAGTCACCTTCTCCCTGAAGTGATAGGGAACTCATCTCCTGAGACAGCCCATTCCATCTCTAATTCTTTCCAATACACTGAGCCTAAATGTGCTTCTCTTCAACTTCTTCCTATTGGTCCCAGTTCAAAGGATCAAAGGACCATAGCTTTACTAAAGGTGAAGGAAAAGTTAGAGGCCATTTGGTCCAACCCTCTGTTTCTGAAGATGACAGAACACGTACAAAGAAGGTGACTTGCTCTGAGTGACACAGATACTAGGTGTTGGA